AAAATTCTCACCAATAAAAACACACTTTCATACAGCTATTTAATTTTTGGGTTGGTACTAGTTTAGGGTGTACACTTGGAGTAATACATGAATGAGACCATAACAAACTGTGCTTACCAAAGGCCTCGGGCCTGAGAAACCTGACCAGGTTCCCCAGAGTCCTGACAGCGTTGGATTTGACCTTGTCATGGTCAGCAGCGCCCTTCAGAGCAAGGTTAAACAGGCTCTGCAGAAGGACGTCCGAGAAGTTGTCCGTGAACTCTGTCCCTAGCTCTTCCCTGGACAAAGATGCACAAAACATAGTCATTATAACAACTTTAGGCCACACCAATTTAATTTGTTGTTTCTCGGATTCACCCTGTCCATTTTTTTGTGATTTGCAAAAAAAAATTTTCAGTGACCAGTGTCACCTTCCTCAGGATAATTAATGACCAATCACTTCACAACGTGATCTCACGAAAGTTTTAAAAGTTACAAACACATGACCTTATTCACACGAGACTTTACTGATACGTGACGTAAGCAATTGATCAAAAGTGCCAGGGAGTTTACATCGTCCACCATCTCTGTTAAGTGAAAATTTGATCCCTGTACAAATGTGTGTAGGAATAAAGTTCAATGTTTTACTATGATTACTACCAACACAGATGAATATTCATGATAATGAGAGACAGACCTGTTACTAACGATGGTGTTACTGAGGTTGCCTAGCGACCAGGCGGCCTTCCACCGACAGCTGAGGTTCTTCTCCTCCAGACCGAGCGTACAGGCCTGCGCAACGTCCGCCAGGAACGAAATATCCTGGATCGAGGAGGGATAGGAGTGTTTGAGCTTACTGACTTGGTCTACCACACAGTTACTGCATTCCTGTGCTGGTCACAACAAGTTTAATATAATAGGTTCATGCTTTCCCAGCCTGTCAAAAATAGAATGTAAATTGAATGCTAATGATAGATGGACATGCAACCATTCTCTCATTGGTCAAATTGCTAATTGCCATTCTCTCATTGGTTGAACTGCTAATTGTGATGGACGGCCTGAATCTGTCTATAGAAGCACGTCGGCAGAACGTATTGCAGTTGTGTGAAACCGTAATGTATTGTTAGTATCTTCAGCAGAAGATTTGCACATATAAGGTTAACATCCTGTCTGTTGTTTCCAAATGTTATGTCAGAAAAGATATCGTCTGCAACAGGCAAAATTCTGATGCAATGCTGACCAAAAATCCAATAAAAATCATGAAAAATGGGGGCTTCACGCAGGTACAGTACGTTCTGCCGACATGCTCTATACAGACAGATTCAGGCCGTCCATCACAATTAGCAGTTCAACCAATGAGAGAATGGAAATTAGAAATTTGACCAATGAGAGAATGGCTGCATGTCCATCTATTATTAGCATTCATTTTACATTAATTTTGTACATTTTGACAGGCTGTGAATGCATGAACCTAACTTGTGACCAGCAGAGGCATGTAGTAACTGTGTGAGTAGACCTTCCCGTCAATCTTCAGTGACCGTTACAAATCAAATCCCTGTCAATCTACAGTTCTAACTTTCCCCACCTCCTTGAGACAGGGGTAGAGCACATACACCCCCAGTGCATGGATGGCAGCTCCCCTCACACTCCACTCTTCATCATTGGTCAGCCCCAGCAGTAGGGTGATGCATAGGATGTGTTTGTCAGTCTGCATGGTAACACAAAAGTTTCAGCACTCAAAAAACTGCAGTTTGAACAAAATATGCTAGGTGGCATAACATGTTTTGCCTTTTTTTCTCTGCATAACATAAAATTGTGAAACCATGTATACAATCTGCTTACAAAGTAACAAAAATCAAACAAACAAATGCTCTTAGAAACATACTTCTAGCTCTTTCTGTCCTCGGGTCAATTTTAAGTTGTGAAAAGCCACATGTAAAATCTGTTTACAAGCAAACGATCAAGCAACAAATTTGAAAAAAAAACAAAAACCTTCAGATCTTTGTGTTAAGGTTAACGCATACTTTCAAATGTCATGAAAAGCCATGTTTAATGTCTGTTTTCAAAGAAATAAAAAAGCAACAAAAAAAATCCTCTAGAATCTGTTTCAAAATCAATACTAACAGTAACTGTCATGTAAAACTGATGATTTTTTTAGCGCTTACAGGTAAGAGTTGGAAGACCTGTGCCCCGGTGTTGGCCAGACACTGGCAGCCACAGCTCCTGAGTAAGGTGTGGTCCAGGTTCTGTAGTGCTGAGGGGAGAGGGCCGTTCAGCAGGGGCAGCCAGAAGTCTGCAGCCTCACGGTCTGTCAGGGCTGAACACTCCACCTCTTTCACCAGGACTGCACCAACTTCTTCTACAAACTACATGTTAAGAAATTAAATTAGAGAAGTAACATTTGCAAAACAAATGCATAATGTTTACCTTTGGACATAGTCTGCTCTGTTAATTCTTACTCAAACACATTCACATACATGTACTACTAGTATATGGTGACAGGAGCAGAGCAGACCATGAAATTGCAACATTATGTAACCTAACACCAGTTACCATGGTGACAGACGTCAACAAATCATGTCATTGGTCAGGTCAGAGGTCACTGTTTGGAGAAGAAGAGGAAGAAACTGAGCATAAACAATATGTTTCCCTTCGGCAAACATAACAAGAAGAATTTCACATCTTCATGAAGTACTTAAACTTGCTGCAAATTTCTTGTTTTCTATGTGAATTTTTGCCTGATTTTGTGTACAATGTATATTCTACTGTAACTTGCTCCGTCTGTGGGGAAGACCATTTTGACCTCCAATTTGACCTCACTTCCTCCCAGCCTGCAGGGAGACTGTTTTGACCTTCAGTTTGACATATCTGTAAGTCTGTGGTTATGTCATTTCCCCCGTCTCTTTGCATGACTCTACTGTATTCAAGTAACTATATGGAAGGTGCTATGGTCTAAGGGTAAATCACTTCTTCATTAATTAATTAGGCTAAGTCCTAGAGAGAATTAATGGTTTAATACCTTAAAAAAGTCTCAATGTTACATTTTGTGTCCCCATACTGACCTTTCCTCCCTGTAGCTGTAGTGCTGTGTTCTGTTCCTGTAGAATCCCACAGAATACCTGGGACAGTTCCGTAAGGTGAGGTCTGCAACATTGTACAAGACATTGTCATGGTTATGCAACTTATGTCATTACTAATAGGCACAAATATCAATATATATTAAAATCATCTCTATCAGGCTTGAGTTATGATTACACGTATGTTGCATTCATGTTCCTCAACACCATCAAGCAACTGTCAAAATCACATCCCAACCACCATGGTTATCTATTAGGACAAGCAGAGAGACAAAAACACAACTCAACCACCTGAAACAAAACAGAGAGACAAACCCACTACAAAGCCACCCAAAACAATACACCCATGCCCAGAAGTGAATAATCATCTGATTGGGGTCATGTGGCATAGTGGCAGAGTGCTCGACTCGGAACCAAGAGGTCCCGGGTTCGAGTCCTGACATGCCACTGATCTTGTGCCCTTGGGATAGGCACTTTACACGACTTTCCTCACTTCGCTCAGGTGAAAATGAGTATTGTATTGTCCTCTGTGTTGGTGGCGTCATTAATATAGTGAAACTGTTGAAAAAACTTGAGTGTGCCGTCACCACGTATTGTGACTACATGTTAAAATATATAAAAAAAATAATAATCACCTGATAAACATGAAGTAGCCCTTTGCCATCTGGGTCATGACCTGGATGGCCTCTGTCCTGACAGGAATGATGGGAAGGTTTGACCCCGTGACCTGGGCGTGTCTGAGACTGACCATCCTTAAACACCAGTCCAGCAGCCACACCTTAGAGGACACTCCTCCACTCTCACTTTCCTGTCTTATCTGTGTTTTTCCTTTTTCTTTGGACGATGCTCCTTGCTCTACAGTTGAATCCTGTCCGGCTGTTTCTGTGCTGCTATCAACATTCATGTTTTTGATTGACTCTTGTACTATTTCTGTGTGGTTGTCAGCTTTCTGAGGTACTGTTTTATGCTCTGGGTCTGTCCTGTGCTTTATTGGCGTTGCTGACAGCATAGGGGGGACTTTTGCCTGGCTATGTGGTGTTGAACTGACTGCCTGCATAACTTGTTCTACCTCTTTGAGTGGTGCCTGAATGAGAAAAAATACATTATAAATAAACATAAAAAATAATATTATAAATTTCAAAAATATCCGTGAATAATTTTATCAGGTTGGTGAATGACTGAATAGCAAAGTTCTTTCTTTATTCATAACCACTTGTTTAGCAAGAGCCGATGTTTGCACGATCAGCAACTATGACTTGTTCATTGTGCAAGTTGGTAGAGGCATGGAGTTACTTTTAACTCCATGGTAGAGGTCACTGAAAACCACGAAAGAAAAAAAAATAATGAAGCTTTTTCAAGATTTACAGTACCTGCACAGACAGGATGGAGTGGAAACAGGTTAGGGTTGCCACCTGGACATCATACTCTGGGACAGAGAAAAAAGAAAACAGGAACAAACGTTTAGTATCTGTCCTGTATAGCTAGCATAACCTACATGTATTTGTATCCTGTTCAGTCAGTATAACTGCGCTAGAAGCTGGTGTGTTAAGCCAAGGAGGTTAAAAAGAGATTTTTTTAACCTCCTTGGTTAAGCCAGTTTCTATTTCAGTATCTGTATCAGTATAGCTGGTATAACCACCCTTTGGCGTAACACACCAGCCTCGCAGGCACACGGCACGGCAGCAGCTGGTTATATTACATTTACTTAACGACCTGTTACATCTAACTGTTTGCACATCTATATGTACATGTAACTGCAGGCGTTGTTTAAAACTATATACTTAGTAGTTCTGATCCCCCAGTTGTACTTTGTTACAACACTGTACAATGTTCCACTTCTAGAAAAAACTTTTTCAACACCTCAAGTTTGGGTCTTCTTGTTCTTTTCTGGGCAGGTACTGACACACTTTCCCAGACAAGCAGATACCAACATGGGACAAGTACAGGTATAAGAGTCTCTTCTAGCCTACTTTCCTTAGCTCCACATGTACATGTAAATGTGCATACAGCAACATGACAGCTGCTCCCCCTGCTGGTCAGGCCCATATCTGCAGAGAGTTTGTGTTGCACAGACTAACAGCAACATTTAATATACATTGTATATAGTGGCTTTGTAGAGTACCTTTATGGCTGAGCAGTGGCCTTATCTGCCGTACCACCTTGGTGAGAAGACCAGGCTGTAGTCGGTGGTAAGGCACGTTGGGAATCAACGTCGCAAAGCACTGGACAACAGGGATAGGAACATGGTCAGTGATCAGACTGCACTTTCAAAAGATAAAGTTAAAAAAAAACAGTTACTCAAGCAACTGAATATGATTTTGAAACAGACATTTCAGGTAGCATCCACTACCTTTTGTCAGTGACACTCTAGACTGATGTGAGCATTAAAAAACAAAGTTTGTATTTTTTTGCACAAGACATTTTTATTCATTGTATAATATCTAATAGTATCACATTTGACTGTTCTCAGGAACTGTTGCATTTCAGTGTTATTGTTTTTATGCCATCTTTAAGATCTTATGCTAATAGTGATAAAAAAAGGAAGAAGTGGGTTGTCATATACCTTGAGCAGATAGAAGAGTGTATGAAAATTGCTCTCAGCTGCCAGGGCCAGCAGCAGACAACGGTGGATCTCCTTCACTGTGGAGCCCAGAGTCACGGAGTAGGGGGTGAACGCTGTCTGTTTGGGGGCTCTGCAAGCAAAAGGTTGATAGTCTTTGTTTTAACCTTAACATTTCATATTCATGATAATCTGTTATTACCTGCAGGTATAATCTACATGTTTATTACACTACTTTTTATGAGTTTCTTACTAATGATAACAAGAGGCAGATCGACTTAATTTTATGGATGACATCCAAGCATGCATTGATTTTCGTCTGTTCTCAAAAAAAAAAAGATCACGTCCACCGAGGCTCTGGCCTGGCTCCAGGCCTGGGTAGTCCATGGAGGCTAGCGACAATACAGAGCCGGGCACCCAGGCTACCGAAGCTACATACATACAGTGCTGATTCATAAATTCCGCAAAAATACGTCGCTAAGTACTGCCGCAAATTCACAATACCAACTTTGTATTCCTGTGGTTTAGTAGCATTTTTATTTTTGGCCGGAGTTTTTTTTTAATCAGCCGCGCGTCTTCAGAGGATGTCATCCATAAAATGAAGTCAGCCTGCATGGCCTAAGAGACAGATAATAAACTCACGTTTCTTCAGCGGCAGCCAGATACTGTTTGCTTCCATCAACTAGAGAGGACAGGACCAACAGGGCATTCCCACGTGCCTGGAAATAACATACATATTATATACATTTTGTACCTTTATATAATTATGTAACCCTACACAAATCAAATTATATACTTCTATATATGTAACCCTTCACAAATACTGTATAAAGCTATGCACTGGTACACCAGAGTAAAAAATTATGTGCACATGTGGTTTTGGGTGCACAAAAGTGCATAATAATGCATTTGTACAGACCTTCGGTGCTGGGTCCTTCAGTATACTTGTGAAGAGAGTTGGAGCTTGTGGCGCCCCGACACTGCTGCATTCTGGGAGGAGGTGTGACCAGTACCCAAACATGAGTCTCTTGTCAGTCATCTGTGCCGTGTTGTGGAGACAGTTCAGGGCAACCTCTCGCACTCGAGACAGGATGGACCTGTGGGGGGGGGGGGGCAGTGGGGAGGGTTTTACAGGGTTCATTTAACGTGTTTCATTTATAAAGAAAAATACTACAACAAGGATTTTCTTGTCTTTCCGACACTTGTTTTTTTTGTTTATTTATTCATTAATTTTGTTTATTTATTTATAATCAAAGAGAAGAACAATGAAATGAACATATTACAGTAAAATAGGATATGCAGGGGAAAGATAAGAAGCCATAATGGCTTGTCCGTGATTTTCCCCCGACTAAATTAATTGACAACTGTAATAATGGTAACAAATCAAATGGTAATAATAAATAACAATAAGTAATTGAAAATGTGATCAATATGATAACGGTAACAAATCAAATAGTAACAATAAATAACAAAAGTAATTGGTAAATAACGTTAATTAGATATGATATGTTAGAAAATAAGTTAACAGAGGTTTAACTGAAGTACAAACATAAGAAAAAAAAGATGTCAACTTAGATGTCAACAATATGCTGTATTACAACTTACAGTAGTATATATTTAAAATCTTTACATACGTAAACCTAGTACAAAAATGTTTGGATGCACTGGTGCACCCACAGAAAATATAATTGGGTGCACAGCTCCAAATTTGGGTGCACTAACTAAGGTGCACATGTACCCAGTATTTCGAGCCCTGGTTTTATATATGCCAGGGTAAAGACTTTCATCTGAGAGAATTGGCAATTCTACTACTGGTAGGGATCCAAAATGTAAATTTCCAAGATGTTGCAGTGCAAGTACTATGTTTGTTCACCAAACTATTGTCACATTTGATGCCAGATGCAGAAAATTATGCTACTCCTTTATTGATAGGCTTAAAACAACACCAACAACAGCATAATACAATGTCTTCTGAGGTTGGATTGTCAGTACAGAAATTCTTCTTGTACATAAGATGCTGTATGTATAGTTTGTGTTTCTATGTTTGTACCGTTGTTTTCTATGGGTGAAATACCTGAAATAAAGACATTCATTCATTCAAAGGTCCCAGAAAAGGTTATCCTGGTCCATTTCTTTAAGAAAATCTGCTCAGACGAACCTTAGTCTGGTAAGATGTCCTGCCTCGTTGTCAGAGTACTCCGACTCAGAGCTGCTGGCCAGTCCTCTCCAGCTGGTCCTGTAGTCACTGCCTTCTGAGGAGGAGTAACCTCCAGTACTGTCTCCTCTCTGTGGGGATATTATGTTTGTATACATTAGGCCATGTTGGTTTTATTATATGGATGACATCCTCTGAAAACCCCAAAACTGATGCGAGCGTGCGAATAAAAAAAGTTTGGCAAAAACAAAAGTTGCTTTCATTATGAAATCTACGTGATTTTGAAGGTTGAACAAATGACACAGAGTGTTGGTTTGGCGAATAATCTACTCTTCAAATTTATTTCTTTATATTTTTATCTTTTTAGTTTGATTTTGGCATTCTACGACATTGGTATCATCTTTCAATGATTTCTTTTCAACCTACGGTATATATTTGCTCATTTTGCAACTACTGTTTTGTTGGTTGTATGGTATGGTTGAAAACTTTTTTTTTGGAAATGGCCAAAAATTCATGCGCGCGCATATACATGTAATCAAATCAACATGGCCTTACAAGGCTTGAAATACCACCTGCATTGAAGATTAGTACAGTCTTCCACTGGCTGGCCAGCGACATTGGGAAGCTGGTGGAAAGTTCAGAGGATGGCGCCCAGGCTAGCATGAGAAGGTTTTACACAGTCAACATTACATGTACCTCTCTCCTGTGCCTGTCGTGTGCCTTGATTGGACTCCTGGGGGGTGTGCTGACAGGGGGGCCCCTGCCGGCAGGAGACCTGGAGGGGGGGTTGTGTGGGGGTCGTACATCAGACCTGGCCGTGTCAGGCTCTGTCTGCTGTTTCCTCTGTCTCTTCTTCTTCACTTTTCTTCCCCTGGGAGTAGACTGAGCTGGGGACTCCTCTGGAAGGATAGAGATTGGCATAAGGCCACACCAATTTAATTTGTTGGTTCTCGGATTTGCCTCTTCATTTTTTTTTTGATTTGCAATTTGCAATAGAGTCTGGTTCTTAATCAATTCGAAAATGCTCATATTTTGCCCTCAACAGCTGAAGAAAGTCCTTTTCTTCCTAGGTATTACAGTTTTTCTATCTATCAATGCAGTGGTTTGATTAGAATTTCAAAATTCATCTTTTAAATTTCAACCCAGCCTTTTGTGTTGACTTCATGGCTCCTATCATAGCATTTATGGCTATAATAGGATGCCTAGACCTGTTTTTATTTTTTTTTGTCCACCCCCTCACTTCCATTTTGAACTGCTGAGATACATACAAATTCCAACTATACTAGCACTGCCCAAAGCAACACATATCCTACCACCCAAGGCATACCTGGTCACAAGTGACTCACAACCCTGTCAATCAATTGAAACTCAGTCTCCACCCACCCACCTCCAATCCTCAGTGTTGATAACATAGAAAGATACTAATTCCTCCTAAAGCAGCACTACCCAAAAATGTGTCCAGGAATATCCAAACCTTTGTCAGAGTCCCTGTCCTTGGTTGTGGATCTCTTAGGACTGGGGTCGTACTGTGAGACAGGTGTGGGGTAGAGGGTGGCAGGTACCTGGAGAGTCTGCCCAGGTAAGCCATACAACATGTACACCTGGTGAACGAATGTACAATCATTTACATTCATAAGCCAGTGGATCATAATCATGTGGCAGGACGTTGACGTACCAAATACCTTAGCAGAGATGGGGGACGTCATAAACTTTCTGCAACTGACATGGTTTGTTTGTTTATTGTTTATTTGAATTCACCACAAGATATATATACAAGTGGAAGGGAGGACAAAACAGGTGCATTGACACCTTTACAAGTTGTCCTCCCAAAAGGTTCACTGCTCAACTACAGAAGTAACATTAGCATTTAGCAAATGCATAATGTTAACCTTCGGACATGGTCTGCTCTGTTAATTCTTACTCAAACACATTCACATACATGTACTTCTAGTATATGGTGACAGGAGCAGAGCAGACCATGAAATTGCAACATTATGTAACCCAACACCAGTCACCATGGTGACAGACATCAACAAATCATGTCATTGGTCAGGTCATAGGTCACTTGTTGGAGAAGAAGAAGAGGAAGAAACGGAGCAAAAACAATATGTTTTCCTTCTGTAACCATAATAACTTCACAACATATTCTACAGTGTATCTGCATAATCATAACCTGACATCACCATGGTGTAAATACATGTATACCAGAGTAAGTTACGTCATACAACCGTACAAGCAAGGAAGAGCTGAGAAATGACTTACTCTGCAGACTGCCAGAAGAGACCCCAGACTGCCCGGGTCAACGTCTGTCATCACAGACAACAGGTTCCTCATGCCTTGTAGGGTGCTCAGGATCAGCTGGGAGAGAAAGTACTCGTGTTACTTACAAATACAAGAATAAAAAGCATACAACGTTTCTCTCAAAGATGTAAAAATTGTTTAGGAAGTAACTTTTATTACCTGTAATTTTTGTACTTCATGTACCTCTAGAGATTTTTTGTGTGTGTCTGTTTGTATATTTGCTTGTGCACAGTCTCCATACAGTTGTTATTTCAACATGCTGGACAAGAAGTTAGGTCAAAGGTCCCATAATATCAGGACAGGTTATCTTTGTTATTTATAACTCTGTATAATATCTGTGAGAATAAGTATAACATGTATAATTAATCAATTTTACTTAAGCCTTAATACATTTGTACTACACGTTATCATGAAAGTTCATCTGTGTTGGTGGTTACATAATATTTAGAGTTAAACCTTTTCGTCCAACACGGTCCGTGACGGGGGCCGACATCGTCTACCAGATACCTTTGACCCAGTGTTGACGTCACACTTCAAAGAAGCCACATGACAAGCCTCACTGGGTCAGTCTACTGAGGAAGACCAGAGTGACTGGTCGAAAGCTCTAGGTGAGAGAACTTTTTTTGTGTTGGACCAAAAGTTTTAACTCTAAACACTATACATGACATTGTGTATTTACAGAATTGGATTGGGCTAACACTACACGAGTTATCACACGGGCCAGAATACCTGTATCCAACATTATTGTGCTAAGACAGCAGATATGTTTGATACGTGTTTGTGCAGATTAGAACAGGTATTGTACTATCTAATATACCTTTGCAAACAAGATGTCGTCCACTTGTTGAGGTTTGGGTGTCTGTAGCACTGCCATCAGAATGGTGTACGCTTTTCTCAGGTATTCATCAGAAATGGTCTGACCCTCTGGATTCCTGCAGACAAAAACACTGAAGTTTGGCCAAAGGTCCAAGAAAAGACCATTTCCTGTCTTCAACTTCTTGTTACATGAATGTCTGTTGGCATTAGCTGGGAAAATGAATAGACAGAATCAGCAAATGATACATTAACAAGAAATTCACAAAAAATCTAAATACTTCACGGAGGTATGAGATCCTTTCAAGAGTTCTTGTTTTGTGCAGACTTAGGTCATCTTGATTTGATTATATGGATGACATTCACGCGCATGAATTTTTGGCCGTTTCAAAAAAAAGTTTTCAACCATACTGTAAATCGTACAAAACAGTTGCAAAATGAGTAAATATATACCGTAAGTTGCAAAAAGAATATTTAAAAGCAATACCATAGAATGCCAAAATCAAATGAAAAAGATGAAAATGTTAAGAAATGAATTTGAAGACTGTAGTCGATTATTCACCATACCATACTGTGTGTCATTTGTTCATGATGGCATAGAATTCATAATGAAAGCAACTTTTTTTTTTTGCAAAACTTTTCTTTATTCGCATGCTTGCATCAGTTTTGGGGTTCCCAGAGGATGTCATCCATATAATCAAATCAACATGGCCTTACCGTAAGCAGAGGTTGTACACGCTGGCTATTGCAACCCTCTTGATGTCCAGGTCAGGATACTCTGGTTGTACAAACTGCATCAACAACCCTTCTGGACCGATCAGCTGGTCTATGTACTGAGCAACAGCAAAAAGAAATTTTTTGATTATCCTAGTTTTGCAAAATTACGCTCACACTATACGTTCCAGAAATTATTGTCATGTCCAACTACCATATCTGCCTACGTAGGCTAATTTCTGTACCCTTTATTTTATAAGAGAGACTATATATCATCAATACATGACCATATTGTAACTCATATACTGTGTAGATAGTAGTTTGTAGTAAGAAATGTAATAAGATACTTTTATTAGTTTAGTTTTGTAGTATTGTTGTATTACTCAACTGCCACATATTGTACCATGTATAAAGTTCATTCATTCATTCATTCATGCTGGCCATATGGCAGGACACAGTTTATTTCAGAAACCATAAGCTAGGCCGCTGTAAACTTTAAATGTTGAGTCTCACACAGAAGCCATGGCTTGCATGTAGCAAGAGTACAAGACAAGAATGAGTATTTCAAACCCTGTTTCTACTGTACAATCCCTTTGTTTCATCTGGAAACTTAATTTAAAACACTGCAAACACTACTAGAAAATTAAAACTAGAATGGTAACATTTGCAAAGCAAATGCATAATGCTTACCTTCGCACATGGTCTGCTCTGTTGATTCTTACACAAATACATTCATATATATGGTCAGACAGAAGTCTAAATCCCTCCTATACTATAAAATTGCAACATTATGTAACCCAACACCAGTTACCATGGTAAGAGACGTCAACAAATCAGGTCATTGGCCAGGTCAGAGGTAAGTGTTTGGAGAAGAAGAAGAGGAAGGAAACTGATCAAAAACAATACATTTTCCTTTGGTAAACATAGTTAAGTCCCATGAAATTACATGAAGCTACATGTACATACCATGGAGACAGCAGGTCCCCTCTGGTACAGTAGTTGTGCCAGAGTCCTGAGTATGTCTGGCAGAGTCCAGGGTCTACAGACTGTCACCGCTCGCATCACATACTCCACACATGTGTCCAGCGATCTGCCCTGCAGCAGAACCTAAGCAACAACAAGTGTGAAGTTCTTTGGTCTTAAAGGCATCCAATGCAATTTCAGGACAGCAAAACTGGAAATATTCTGAATAAGGCAATCTTTGTCATATTGACACATACTTCTTCACATTATAGCACATCTCAATAAGTATTTCATTCTTTGGGCAGTTAAAACTGCAGAAACAAGCCCCAAGATGATTCTTTTATTTTCTGGGTGGTACCCTAAAAATCAGCCCAGGGCCCCTCCACTATCCATTTTCCATCATAATTTTGGGAATTTTTGCTCCATGAGGGTCAATATACATTTGGATAGTGTAGTTTCAACTCAGTTTGGCTTTGAAAAATCAGGTTTCCAATCCCTAAAAACTATGGTACAAGGTAACAGAATAGTTATCATCGTATAATCTGAAAGAAATTGCATTGAAAAAGAAACTAGATGCTTTACCCCCATTAGGTGTACTAGTAATTTTGTTTCTTCTTAGCATTCACACTTATTACAATTGTTACAACAAATGGGTAGTCATTTCAGTTTCTTCTAACTGACTTCTTATTTAGCCTTCAACAATTACAATACCAGCACAAATATAGACATAGCAACTGTAAGTCATGACTACCATATTAAACACCTACTTGCTGTCCACTGAAGCCCACCAGGTGCCTGAGTAGATGGCAAACTTTTGTCACCAGGAGCTCATAGTTAAGAGGGACCAATTCACAGGCCTTGCATACTAGTCCCAAAGCCAGCTAGATTGACAAAAAGAAAACAAGAAAAAGTCAAGATATTAATATACTTGTAATGAAAACGTAATATTTTACTTTTTTTTCTTTTTGTAACTTGCAGAGCTACTTCACATGATTGACTTCTCTCAAATAAATAATTCACAAAACCCATATGCTGAAGAATCAAATCTAAAATTCTAAAATTTAAGTGGCTGCTCAATACCATCATTGTGTCAGTCAGCCGTACTTAATAGTCACTTTCAGATGTCAAAGCTGAAGGCCGTTGCTACAACATCATACAGTTATGAATAATTAAAAAGCGCATGCCATACACCTGTTAAAATTTGTGTACTTTAGGGGAGGGGTGGCTAAGTTACTAACCTTCTCATCCACAAACTTTGGCGTCTGATAGTCGAGCGAGTTTAGCTCGTCCAACAATATGTTTAGTTCTATCTTGAACTCCTCTCCTTCGCCTGGCACCAGGCTCAAGAATTTGGTCGTACAGCGCCGAAAAACGTCGGCATCGCTCTGAACGAAGGGCCGTTGTTGCCTCTGGGGCCGAAGCGACACCTCTTCCGCCATTTTCTTACTGCAGTTTGAACAGAAGTTACTAGGCGTCGCTGCTGCTCGGTCTGCAGTGCATTCTCGCGAGATTTGCACGAGAGCTCTTGCCGAAGATGTGATGTCATATATAAACAGGGCTCTTTTCTCGTCTGCAGCGCTGGCTGGAATCAGCAAAAAAATTGTCCACGACAGCCAGAGTATTCCGATTAGGAAACCGGTCGATCTTTCCTCGGCTTGAAGAGAAGGTCATTAACGCCTTTACGTCGCCGACATGAAGATGAATGCCTCAGGAGACAGCTGACAATCCGAAATCTCGCACGGTCATTTTGACGAAGCTCTAGCTACTAGAAGAGTCGAGGTCGCCACTGTCTATTTACAACTGCGCCGTCCGTATTTTTCTCAGTTCCGGTCTTTCAGGACGACTTTTGCCAACTGTTGGTGAGGGAAAATGTCGGCTGACTCGCCGAGGAGGGGGTCCAGGTCTGCTGGGACGGTGGTGAGGCCGCAAGCAGCTGGGTAAGTGTCTTGGAAAAAACCTTGGCCCGGATTGCGACACTAAAAACAACACTGAAGGAATGGCGCCATTTTTAAACCATTTTTGCTCGCCCTACCGTCTGAAAATGACGTAAACCACCTTCGGGTGTAGAAAAACCTTCAAGCACTGACCTAAAGTTTCTTACGAATTTGTTAGTGCAAATTCGTCGTTTCAAAAATCGGTTTCCACTCGTCAGTAGATGACCCAAAAAATATTGTCAAAAGCGGAAACTGCAAATAATTTGTAAACAAAAACATCCTTTGTCAACAGTTTTGTTAGTTGTGATAAATATAGCGCAGTTATTAATATCATGTTGAACTGGTGTTATGTACATTGCATAAAGTTTGATTTTGAGGGAAACAAGAGGGACAAAGAAATAACTCATGCAACTTATATTTTGAAAGGTCAAGTGTAAGGGTACACTTTGATAGCCTATCAATATCATCCACTCCTGCTTGAACTCCGATCTGATTGGTCGTTTGTTTGATTGATTGATTGATTGATAAGTAATGCCTTGTGATATGTCAGTTGGTCAAGATAATGCTTTAGACAGTAGATTATACAGTAGATAAAACTTTTATCTACATGCCTGTACACTGTGAGCTGTGAAGTCACAGCTCTGCTATTAGTATTAGATTTTTATTTCCAGGTCGTAAACTCAAAACACAAAATTCCACTCCTAACACAAAATGACTAATAAACTGGTGGACGTCCCAATTACTAAGTACCTAATACCAGCCCAGAAGAGAACAAGAAATCGCCATGCCTTCAAGTACCAAAGTTATCAACCAAGGATTGAGATGTTCAAGAATTCATTCTTTCCTAGAACTATCGCAGAGTGGAACTCGGGTCACCAAGTACAGTAGGGGCGTTGTCATTAGATAGCTTTAAACAATGTCTAGAGTTAGATGCTCAAGGTTAGGTGTAACAAGTCGATCGGTGTAATGTAGCCAGCTGCCACCGCACCGCGTGCCTAGGAAGCTGGTGTGTTATGCCGAAAGGCGATTATACTGGCTATATATTATTGATACAGATACAGAAGGTACTGTAAGGCCTGAAATATTAAAAAATTATTGATATGCCTGTACACTGTGAAGTCACAGCTCTGCTGATGTAGGTTTTTATTTCCAGGTTGTAAACCAGGTTGTAAAACACAAAAAAATCCTTAGAAATCAAACCCCCTGCTCCTGTACATACCTGCAAAAATAGATCAATCTACAGTATATCTATCCAGGAGTCCGACCATGTAGGTATGCCAAGAATAACGGTCCGTTATTCTTGGCATACCTACATGTAGCAACAGTTCAGATGAAATGAGTTTTCCTGTACAAGGCTAAAGCAAGGGTCAATTGAGTGCCTCTATCAACCAAACTTTAATTGAGAAAAATCTGTTGGTTGCATGGTATCGTCAATTTTCTAGAACATTGTACATGTAGGTGATTTACATAATCAATATGTCTCATGCTTTTAGAGGTCTTAAGTAGGTCATTGTTCGGTTTGATATACATGTATATCATTTGACACTGAGAAACCAAGAACAGTAATACATGTACATGTACCTGTAATTTAAGTGTAAATACATCTTTGTGTATGTGATGTTCCCACTGAATCAAAACCATTTGTATAATTATGATTGAGTCAAAATTTTAAAATGTAGGAACCTTGTTTTTTTCGGCCCGCCTTGTTTTTTTTTTCGCCTGCTCGCATTAAATTTGGAGTCTGCGGAGGATGTCATCCATAAAATTTACTTGATGTGGCCTAAGTTTTAGAGGCATGGGTGGTCGCTCTGATACATGGATGATTAGTTTGGGGGTTTAACCTGATTAAGTATCATGTAAAGGCTTCAATCAATCAAGTCAGGCAAGACCAATGTACTGACACTCAGTGACAGTATACTGAATGATGCAATAGTATGCTGGTACAGATACACATAAACAATGTTTTAGCCATGTCAATGAAAGTTAGAAATCCAGGTAATAAGATACGCCAAAAAGCAGTTATTCAACCAACTGGATATGATTTTGGAAACGGTTAGACGTTTCAGCTAGTATCCACTAGCTTTTGTCAGTGACTGAGAGACCAGATGAGAAATGCAGGTTTATAAGCACAAACTATTGATTGATATGCAAGTACAAAAATATGATAGACAATAGTACAATATGTTGTAAAGTTTGTTGACAAGCAAGATATTAAAAATTTTTGGTGCAAAAATGTTACATAATGCCCCCTAAATGTATCTGAACATACATGTAGATCCCTATACCAGAATTCGAACTTGCTCCGAAGCATCTCTTACGATACTCACCGTATCATTTTTTTGTTTAATGACATAGGTAATGTACCATGACAACAGTTTCAACTGTATGACCCTGTGTGCTATATCAATTTATCACACAAAGCGTTCGGCTTACAGTGGCAATTTATCATACCACACAGTGACATGATGTAAACCACAGCGGCACAGTGTCCCATAACAATTTATAGTTCCAGTATTGTGCTGCGTCACTGAGGTCCTTGTATCAAATGTAGCATTCTGAATGCGCAATGTTTTTCTTTGGTAAGGCCATACCAATTTGATTTGTTGGTTCTTGGATTTTTTCAGAAAAAATATGCAGCGACAGGGCAAAAATAAATAAAAACAGGTCTAGGCATCCTGTAGTATTATAACTCCAAATGGTACGATAGGAGCCATGAAGTCAACACACAAAGGCAGGGTTAATATTGAAACAATGAATTTTGAACTTCTAATCAAACCACTGCATTGATAGATGGAAAAACTGTAACAACTAGGAAGAAAAGGACTTTCCTCAACTGTTGAGGGCAAAATATGAGCATTTTTTAGTTGGTTCAGAACCAGAATCTTTTTTTTTTTGCAAATCAGAAAAAAATGAAGAGGCGAATCCGAAAACCAACAAATCAAAATATTGGTGTGTCCTTTAAGTACTTGACAGATGATAGACATAAAAAAGAAAAGAAGATGCCAGAGGAAAGGAAGCAGGCCTCAAATTACCACTAACTTGCTTACACTACCAAGTCTTCCAAAGTCAAAGAAGATGTGAAGGAGAAAAAATTTTAGTGTTTGATACACCAAGTTCTATGTGTTCAGTTATTTGTGCAACCTTCCTGACCAAATAGATTTTATTCATGAAGGCTTTTTTGTTTCGACAAAATTATTTTTCTTGCATGTTCGCATCAAATTTGGGATGCCCAGAGGATGTCATCCATTTAATCAAATCTGTATGGCCTCTTCTGATAGCCCGGGTACCATACTATTTGTATGCCTGGGTTCCCATATACTGGCTCCCTAAGAATATTTTTTAGGGAGCGAGTATGGGAGCTCCTGTATAAAATAGGAAGGTAATACTGGTAATATAGTACCCAGGCTACTTTTCCGAGCCATAAAACCACATAATAGTCATTATAGCACTTGATTATTTGCGACATGTCAAGAAGATTATAGCTTCAGCTTCAGAAAGCAGAGCTTACCACATAATTAACTTTTGACAAGGACTATAGGTTTAAAGAGATTATGTTTTCATCAGCTTGTTGATTAGTTAGGTAGAAAAGGATATTTCTTAAAGTTAGGTCACACAAATTAAATTTGTTGGTTCTTGCCTGCTTCAATTTTTTTCTGATTTGTACAGAAAGAATGTGCCTTTCAGTTACTGAATCTCAAAATGATCATACTTATACATGTATTTTGGCGCCAACAGTTAAAGTCCTTGTCTTTTTACATGTAGTTTTTCCATTCATCAATGTATCATAGTTTGAAGCATAATTTACCAACTTGGTATGTTGACTTTAATTTGTGGCTCCTATGGTAGCATAGGCCTGTTGGAAAACATATTGTTTTTGCTCAGTTTCTTCTTCCTCCTCTTCTCCAAACACTGACCTCTGACCTGAATCAATGTTGTCTATTGCCATGGTAACTGGTGTTGGGTTACATCATGTTGCAATTTCATAGCAGGAGGGATTTACATTGTAGACTCCTATGTGACCATATATATATGAATGTGTTTGAGTAAGAAGTAACAGAGCAGAGTCAGCAGACCATATGTACATGTGAAGGTAAACATTATGCATTGCCTTGCAAATGTTACTTCTCTAGTTTTGTTTCTTTTTACCAATGAATCAAATTGTTGTGGCCTTAATGTGTTATGGAAAAGGTTAAATGCCTGGATCATCGGCAGATGAATTTTGGAAAAGATGCTAAGCCGAAACACTGTCACAGTGGAGATATTTTGCTCCTTGATTGCCTGTTCTAGCTTGACCTTCCCGTGATCAGAAAAGCTAAAATGGTTTTATGCAAGATGATAGATCTGTGTGCTTCACACATGAGTAATCCAATCATTGACTGTCTGCCCCACAGTACTTTATCTTAAAAGCTATGCAGCTTTGGCTGAAGTTCATGGTCTATATATAGGTGTGGGATTTCAAGATCGGAAATTCCACCCACATATATACAGTATGCAGGTTAGTGCAGGTAAAATTGGAGCTGTGGAGCCATTTCTGATTTCTACTACACCTAACCTGTACATGGACCAAGCACAGGGTTTACATGTGTATGTAGATGACTTTGTGGATTTTTATTTGCTTTATTGACTGTTACCACATACCACCTGTGAAGTATAAGAGAAATAATGCCAATATTTCTTGTATAATTTTTTAGTATGATCCATACTCCCTATTCTGACTCTGTCAGTGGTGCAGGTGAAATTTGTCTGGTGTAGGTAATTTTCAATGTTACCTGCACCAAGTTTTAAAAGGTACAGAATTAAAAGTTCTAACATAGTCTAAGAAGGTACAGGATAAAAGGTTAAATACAGTTTTTATATTAAAAGGTAATATTGGGATTAAATGGTTAAACATGTAGTTTTAGAAGGTACATTTGTAGCAGGTACTGTAGGATTAAATGATTAAAAGGTTAAATGAAAACTGTTTCAGAAAGTGTTTTCTGCGCCTAAAATGCCCGAGGCATCCT